CTTGTTTTTTTTTATTGTAGATACTTTCCAATTTTCCTTAAAAGTACCAAACTTGATTTTTTTTTTCAAATATATTGATGATTCTGTATCTATGAGGCATTTTAAGGGTATATTATTTATTCTTATACGTATAAACGGGCTTTTCCTTCTTCCTCCTTTTCCGGGACATCCAATGAAATTTTTCATCTACATCCATTCTGGATTGCTCACTGGTACATACCTATTCTGTTTTTTTTTTTTTTTTTTTTTTTTTTTTTAGATTAGGTTCTTTTTTATTGCATATAGAATATTTTTTAATATTAATTTTTTAGTAATTATAAAAGACTAATATTCTAACTTCTCAACAAATTTACTGAGACTTTCTGTGAAATTAGTGTTGTAAAGTTTTCTTAGTAACTCCTCACATAATATGTGTACATGTTGTTGCTCCAGCAATCTAGGAAATTTCTAGCGCTGCTCCGCACAGCTGCATGTCTATCGCACCAAAAAGGATGTTGTGCTGTCAGCACAAAGTCGTCGCAAAGTTAACACCTTTTAAATAAGCGGCCACTAAGTGAGTTCTTGTACTAAGCACTAGCGAAAATTTTTTCAAGGGTCAAATGTCCCGTCCCGAAAAAATGTTTTGTGGATATTCAACAATATTCGAAATTGTATTTTTAACATACTTGCACGTTCAAATTTTCATTCGCGCAAAGCCTTTTGCGGATAACAACAGTTCGGAGTTGCACTATTGTTATCCTATATATGTTGCCAAACCAAAATCGCATAAAAAATAAATATAAAAGTTTCAAATTGTTTTAAAATTTATTTGTTTACGTTTGAGTAAATATTCTTATGACACTAGACTATGTTTGTAAGCGGTTCAATCAAGACTGACTTTACTTAAAATCTAAACATGGATCTCAAACGGATTTTAAAAATTCGCTGTTTGTTGCGCCAGCTGCGTTTTAACGCTGTCAGCAATAACAGCGAAATTTTTTGGAATTTCATTTTATTCTTCGGAATTTATCTTTGAGATTAGATTCATTCTTACTTTTTTGTTTACAAATACAGAAGCCACTATAATATAAAGTAACAACAAGTAAAAAAGCATTAAGTAAAGAAAACATTTTTATATAAAAGTAACTGAACTCAAATGTGTTCGTCTTTAAACTAAAAATACCTTTCAGTCCGTTTGGATAATGCTGTTAAACTTTTAATAACAACATTAAGTGGGTGAGGCTGTCACATCAGAACCCCTGTAGACAATTTTATACTTTAAGGAATGTCATCTAAATCTTTTCAGACACCATATTCGAAACAATGTAGAGAGCAAAATGATTAGGATCATTGAAATACCACATATCGGTGGATATCTATATATGTGCGCTACGGGAAAACGTGGATCTAAAAAATCAATGTTATACACCCGAGCTGGAACCCATTATTAGTTATCAATACTATATTTTAGACATTCCGTTGAAATATTCAGCAAAACACTGCATATCCGCAGGTACCATTATATATGGGGGCTATATCAAAACGTGTACCTATATGTACTTCATTCCACTACCGCTAAAAATACCAATTTGTAGATAAATCCGTGAGAAAATGTGGCAAAAATTTTTAAAATATCGAATGTCATAAGTACTGTTATATGGAGCCATACAAAAACGTCGACCTATACATACAATGTTTCGCCACCGGAGATTGAACCCGTTATGACATACAAATACCAATTTTTAGACATAGCCGTGGGAAATGTGGCAAAAATCATCAAAATACCGAATATCAGGAGGTATCGTTGTATGGGGGCTATACAAAAACGTGGACTAGTTCGTACAATATTTCTCCACCAGAGCTAAAACCCACTATGACCTCCAAATACCAATTTTTAGACAACCCCGCAGAAAATGTGTCGAAAATCATAAAAATACCGAATTTCGGGAGGTACCATTATATGGGGGCTATACCAAAACGTGGGCCGATATATTTCATTTTCAATACCAACCATCCTACACACAATGCAAATAATATGGGCATCGTTAAATCGACTTAGAATGTTATGCCGATCATGAATATACATACGTACTTTGTGGGGTCAATGACGAATATTTAGGGATGTTACAAACGGAATAATTAAATTAATATACCCTCTGTTTAACTCAGGAGAGTGGTGGGATGGCAGACAGCGGCAACTACAACAATGATAACTCCCCAGCGTTATTATGTGATGGTGAGAGGTGATGAAGTGAAGTTGATTCGTGGTGTGGTGATTTTATAAAAGAGAAGAAAAATACAAAGAAATAAAACACAGAAAGAATTTGTATAATTCTTATTAATATCTGTGCTTTATAGGAGGATTTCTTCTCTTTTTCAAAACAAAAAAATTAGTTTAGTGTACAAAAAATTAAACTAACTAAAAAATGAAACTAAAAATACAATGTCCTGCTACACGATGTAGAACGCATAACAACATAAAATACCAAATTTTAAATTATCGCACTTAAAACGAGACGGATTGACATCGCTAAACGATTATTTCGATAAATAATAATATATAAAAGTTGTCAAACTCTTTACTGTAATAATATTTGATAGACCCCCTTTGCTTTAATATTGTCTCCAAAGAGTAAATTGAAGCGGATTCTGTGTAGACTTGAGCCTTAACACAGCCTCAAATAAGATAGTTGGCAATTAGCACGATATGGCTATCTATATCGTGCTAATTGCCAACTATTTTTTACCGAGGGTAAAATAAAATATTCGAATAGCGAATATCAGGATGTTACGATTTATAGAAAAATGTCACCTCCTTGAACATTAAAAATTCCTATCGCAAGTCATTTGGACTCTAGCGTGATTACTTTAATTTGTCAGTCAGTTTGTAACTCATAGAAAAAACATTTAAGACCCAACTGCACCCTGCTGTCAGATTTAAGATTGTTAATCGATTTGACAGTCTACGTCTGTCCTTCCGGTTGAGCTGAAATTTGGCATAAAAGTTTGCACTGTATTTTTAATGGTGGATATTGAAAATAAAGTACATCGGTTCACGTTTCGTATATATCCAATATGACTGTGGTTTTCAATATTCTGTATTTTGATTACATTAGCCTTCAATTTTTGGATTACAATCCTTAAAGTAGGAAATTGTCTATAATATGTTGATAATATCCTATACAAATGTTCTATCAACTTAATTGTTTTTTTTTTTTTTTTTTTTTTTTTTAACTTTAACTTATCTTCAACCGATCTCACTATAATTTGTATTTTTAGTGGAGAAAGCGTTTTAGTTATGAATGCGATTGTTCGATTTAAAACAAATGCCAACGGCCACAGTAACCTAAACAAAAATATTGCTACTGTTCTGTTCTAGTAGACAAGGAACGGACGACAAAGAGTTTTTGCTGTAGCAGACCAAACCAACTTAAATAGATGTATTAATTTTGTTTGGGTAAACCAACGCATAACTAATTTGACCACAATGACACCAAAGAAAAAGGTCTAAAGGTGTAAAATTACACGATCTAGGTGGCCAATTCTGGTCTCCAAAAGGCGAAACAATATGACGGGGAAATGACTGCTGCAGCATCAGAATTGTTTCTCTGGCTATATGACATGTGTCGCCAAAACCAACCAACAGGTGACAAGTTGAGGATGTAACTACTTTTCGTGAATCACTCGAGGATTCTGCGCCTCAAATGCGACAATTCTGCGTATTGACAAAGCCATCAAGATAGAAATGGACTTCATCACTTAAAGTGATTTTATCGCCAAAATCAGCATTTTCATATTGTCCTTCCAATGCCCAATTAATAAACTCACTTCCCTGGTCATGGCAAGCTGGTTTCAGTTCCTTGACTTGAAGTGGATCACTGCGATATTTTCGCGACCGAACAGGACGAAAGCGTGTTGTTGTCTCTACATCACTAATATACCCAGTTTCGGCAAATTTAGTCATTAATATATTTACGGCTGGGTCTTTTAGAGCATTATTGTTACCCCAACATAATCACAATTTTCGAACTATAACCGCAAAGCTTTCACCAGTTTGGCAAAATAATTTCTCAATGAAAATGCGTTGTGTAGCGCTCTATTTTTACTACAATCGTACATTCTAATGGCAAATAATAAAAATTGTTAAAATATCCAACAATGACGCTTCGAATTAAAGGATCGGTGTCGCTTAAAAGATCGGTGTTACATTGGGTTTTTGTATAGCCCCGTGTAACGCCAGGCATACGGAGTTTTTGCAATAAAGCGTAATTTTTCAACTTTTTTTTCATTTTGCAAGTTTGTTCCACATGGTAAAAGGTATTAAGAGTTCCGCCCAGCTTCTTTTTTGCTTACTATGTTCCTTTTTTGCTTACAGTTCCTCCCAATATTCGATCATTTACATTTACCATTTTTATGCAATTGTCACGAAATCGATATCTAGAACTTGAGTCACTCTGGCCAAAAACTGATATGTGTGGCTCTCGGCACAATATAACGGTAATATAGATAGGTTTTCTAGTGTTTTTAGACACGTTTTCCGATGAAATTGTCTATACAAATCCATGCTTTTGCTTTATACCGCAGTAACGATGTAGATGAGTTCACTCATTTTTAAGGACATTTCTTGCATTCGGTTCGTAATAATATATATTATGTGATGACAGATTTGTAACTTTAGAGAATAACTATTTAAAATGGATGTAATTTCGATATATTTCCTAAATCATTTTTAAGGTATGCTTTAGTTTCTCGAAAGCAAATGCAAAAATCAATAAAACGGGAATCTCTCATAATTGTTGAGATTGTGCAAATTTTTGCTGGACAAATGTCTTCTTGCTGTCAATTAAATATTTTCCGTCGATGTTATATTGGGCAAGAAACTAACTTGCTCTAATTAGTACAAGTTAGTGAACATTTTGTATAAGTTAGTAGAACAATAAGAGCATAAAGAGATGACAAATAAAAACTTTTATAAAAAATAAAGCACTCACACCTTTTCCAATATATGTTTCTACTTTCAGTGGCACGTATTTGTTTTATGAAAATGGTGATATCAGTAAACCCCGTCTAAAAGAAAGAGAGTGGAAGAACAATAAGTTTCACTTTGACGATGTCGCAAAAGCAATGTTAACGTTATTTACAGTTTCCACCTTTGAAGGATGGCCAACGTAAGTACCGATTCACACACACACATTGTTATTATTGCACTGATGTGTATTTGTTTATTGCACCATCTCTGTTTGTTAGATATCTGTAGGTGTAGTCTGTGTTGTCCGTGTCTGCTTTACTGTTTATTCGTTTTGTTGTTGATAAACTATTTATGTAGAGCATCTCCATCGTAAGTCTCTTGTTTTAGTGATGTGACGTTTGTAAAACTCTCACGTTTGTTCGGCTGTGCTGACATCCTAATTTTTAATTTGTTTTTTGTTGTGCCAACACAAAGTTTTCCGCAATTTTCTTCCTTGTTACCACCACATTCAATTTCGAATATCACATTAGGTCTGTCCATTTTAGGAATTTTACTTTTCATGTTTGTGAATAAAGATTTTGTTGTGTTAGGTGAGCTATGTGCTATTGTGTTTTTGAATTTTCAATATTTCAGGAATTTGTAGGGTAAGTGTACCAGTAGTAGTGTACCATTTTAGGATTTTCGTATTTTTAATCGCTCACCATTCTGAGTGGAACTTTTCAATTATTACAAAGTTAATTTATTCAGATTCGAAATTTTGTATAGTATTTGCAATTATAAATAAAGTTTTAATAACTTTTTATTACATTTCATAAATTTGTAGTTTTATTAAAACAATGCTTTTTTGCCAGTAGTCGGCAAACACTTGCTAATTGTCGGTATGGCATGTTCCAACAGTCGGCATACCATTTTTTTTGTAAGAATAATTAATAATAATAACAAATTAATTCATATAATAAAATATAATATTTTTGTTTAGTTAAACTGATTCGACGTCTTTATTGTACTTTTCTTAAGAATATGGATTGTTGAGGAACTTTACAGACAAAAATTTAATTTTTATTAGAATAAATCATCTTTTCTTAGCGAAATTGTATCCAAAGATAGCTGACAATATATTTGAAGTGAACAAAATACATTTAGTTATAATAGTTTCATTTATTTGGGCTTAAAAATAAAAAGTGCCGACTACTGGGACATGCCGAACTTAGGTAAACTTACCCTACATTTTGGGCGGATCTGTTTTCTGCGAATCTCTATTGTAATAATTCTCAACTAGGGATTTGGTTATGTGTAATGGGAAGTTATTATTAATTGGAATGTCCTTTGTTTTGGAAATTAATTTGTTCATCGCTTATTATCAGAACTCTATGTATTAAGTTTTTCGCTGTATTGATATTGTCCGTTTTGTGTGTTTAGAGTAGTTACTGACTATTCTACCTGAAACAGTAGGTTTTTGGTACCAATTAAATTTATTGTATTATTTACATTTCGTATTACTAATGTATCGAAATATGGGAAGTTCTCGTCGCATTCTACTTCCAAAGTTAATTTCTCTTTTTTAATCATCCACATATTTCGTCAGTACCTTTGGTTTTGATTGTATTGATTACATGCTTTTGTTGAGCAATGATTCCATAACCAAATCAGCAATTATGGGTGATGCTGGTGACGATCGTTCTCTCCTGACTCAGCAAAAGACCATCTACGCAGACAACACTTATTGCCAACCGTGTTAGCAAAATTCAGAATATTACAGAGGTAGGTAATGGGCGTCACGTGGACTCTGAATATAATCCCGCTGATTCAGGCAGAGTCGCCTCCTTAAATCTTTAGTGGCATGTACCACATTGGATACGCCATAATAGTCCTCATTTGGATTTATTCAATTTTCCACTGCCTGACACCGAAATTGAGATGTGCTGTTAAGGCTCATGCCTCTTTCTTCAATAATTATTGTGACCCCTTAAAATATTTCTCTTCCTATAGCAGCTAGAATTTTCCACCAGACTTATCCTGTTCATAGAGGTTGTCACATTTACCATGAGAAGTCCCTTAAAAGATTAAAGCGTTTAGATAACGTCTGACTGTTTTATCTCAAAAACCTCACTTTGTAGATGAGTGAATTTCTTTGTCAGATAAGGCTCCATTGAGGGCAAAGAGTTCTATTTGGCCTTTAAATCAATTTCTGGATGAATTTAGGGAATAAGGCTTAATGGACGTTTGTTGTAATCACCTACCCTATCTTACACTGAAAGACATCTCATTATTCTGCATCGCCAAAGTCGTTTTACGCAATTACTACTCCATGTTCTTTCCATTATTACGCATAACTAAAATTGTGTATTGGGTCCCACGACTACATTCATTTATTAAAACAACTATTACTAAATGTAAAACATTTTTCTTGAAAAAAAATGATCTTGCTTTCAGATAATGGATGACCATCTCCGCAGAGAGATGTATTATCTAGACCGTTCACCACTACGGGATTTGATTTTGCAGGTCCCTTTGATCTTAAATCATTCCTTTGCTAAAATCACTAAAGGTTGCGTCTGTGTCTTGTTTGGTATTCTACACAAGCAATGCATTTTGAGGCTACTTCAGATTTTACACGGAAACATTTTTAGCAGTCGTTCACCAATTCTTTCTGATAATAGTACAAACTTTGTTGAAGCTGCTAGGAAAATTTAAATAACTTCGAAACAGTTCCCCGTGAATGTCGTACTGTGTGCAATTTATTCATTTCTTATAGGTTCCACAATCCATGTTCCTCCGGAGCCAGTAATTGACGATGCGTCTTTATAAGTAAATTAGTTTCGAAAACTTAAAGCTCTCACTCAACAACACTGCCTACAATGGGAAAATGAGTAGAAGAGTTTACACAAATGAAGGTTTCCGCAACGCGATCTTCAAAAAGATGTCTTAGTCGTAGTTAGGCATACAAATTTTCCACCCACTTCGTGGAAATACTGACAAAAGATGTCTTAGTCGTAGTTAGGCATAAAGATTTTCCACCCACTTCATGGAAATACTGACAATGCTGAACAGTTTTAATAAATGTTTTATATTAAATTTACTTCGGAAGAATAATGTGACGGGAATATCCTGTATTTAGACAAATCTATAATCCAAAATGCAAATAATACAATAAATATAAAGTGGTATCAAAAACCTACAGTTTCAGATCAAAAAATCTGTTACTACACTAAACACACAAAACGGACAATTATCAATACAGCGAAAAACTTCATAAATAGAGTACTCAAAACATGCGATGAACAAATTCATACCCAAAACAATTTAAATCTAAAGGGCATTGTAATTAATACTAACTTCCCATTGCACACAACCAAATCCCTATTTGAAAATTATTATAATAATAAACATACAGGTAGAGATTCACAGAAAACAGATCCGAAAAAGGGCGTTAGCCGAACACTGTAAACAGAACAACAATACACCGAAGATCGATGACGTGAGAGTGTTACAAACGCATAAACAAATGAAAATAAAGGCAAGACAAAACTAACTTTTCGTTGTCTATATTTTCATTTGTCTATGACAAACGTCACATAACTACAACAAGAGACTTACGATAGAGATGCTCCACATCAATAGTGTATCCAAAAAACACGAAGAATAAACAGCAAAATAAATATGGATAACACAGCCTACTGCTACAGCCAGTTAACAAAAATAACAAAAAAAAATAATTATCAGTGCAATAATAACAATTGAACATAGTAGTCACACTACACTAGGCTTAAATTTATTATACCAATTATTTGCAAGTAAGCGATTATCTCCTTACGTGTTTATGCCCTAGCTTCCGTGATAATATTCATATGTTGTATTTTTGTTATTTGATTTTTTGGTCACCCTGATAATAAAACTCAAAGATTTTTGATACCTTGTAACGCTTAAAAGTTACGAAGTGCGTTTGTGGTGTACATATTTCATATTTTTAAATCATTAATATTAATTTATTATTCATTATATGAAAATTAGTATTTTTTGTAGAACGTGGAATTAAATTCAAGGAATTACCTTTAAACTATTAAAAAAATAATGAAATTGTTTTTAAGTTAGCGGCTATAGCAAACCCCTAAGGAAGAAGCTAGCATTTAAAAACGTGTACAGATCAGAGCCCCTAGCGGCCAATAGCAGTATTTCAACGGCTGAAACACCACCGGCTTTTAACATGGACTTCCTCCTTTAACCAAAAACAAGGGAACGAATAAAACATCAGAAGCAATAAACCTTATCGAGAAACGAAAGACACAAACATCTGCAGTCGTAAACAAGTAAAACAGCAGCAACTTTGAATACCCTCCACCATCTAAAAATTTAAATCTGTATAAAAATTTTGTTAAAATCTTAAAAATACCGAATATAGCCGCTATATGGGGGTCGATACGATGTGAACCTACGCAGGCTTTTTTTGTCATAAGCTATTACCATATTCAAATTCGAAACTTGAAATAAACGGTGAATGAAATAGTTAAAAAATAATACCGTATATAGGAAGGTACCGTTATATCGGAGCTATACGAAGACCTGGACCTGCATAGCCAATTTTCTGTCACAGACTGTAGTTCCCATTACGAACTCTAAATACGTTACTTGAAACTACTCCGGTGGATAATGACGCTAAAATCATTAAAATACCGAATATTGGGAAGTACCGTTATATCGAAGCTACACGAAGATCTGGACCTTCATATACAATTTTCTGTCACAGACTGTAGAATCCATTACGAACTTCAAATACGACATCTCAAACAATCATGGTGAGTATTGTACCTAAAATCGTCAAAATACCGAATATAGGGAGGTTCCGTTATATTGGGGCTATACGAAGATATGATCCCGCGCAGACAATTTTCTCTCTTGGCTCGTAGTATCCATTTCGAACTTCAAATACCATATTTGAAACAATTCCGGTGAATAATGTCGCTAAAATATTAAAATAACGAATATGGGTGGGTACCGTTATATGGGGGCTATGTGAAAACGTGGACCCACCCTTTTACGAACTTAACCTGCCTACTGGCACATGCGTGCAAAATTTTAGCCGTCAATCTCAATTCGAAAAAAAAAAAAAAATTCAACGTGAGACCCACCGCTGTAACGAAGACAACGGAAACCATCGGAGCCTCATACTTAGCCATGGAAACGGCACAGGGGAGAAAAATC